TTTTTTTTTTTTTTTTTTTTTTTTTAGTTTACAAAATGAATTACAGTCACTTTTAAACATCGTGGAACAGGAAATGGGTGGGCACAACTGGACACTTGTCTAGCATTCTTGAACTAATTCACAAATGCAAGAAAATAAAATAAAGGAGGGAAGAATGGCCGAGGCGGGCAGTTGGTGAGAACGGAGGGGCTGGAGGGTGTGGTCACGGGGAGGGCAGCCCCGTCCTGTCTCGCGTGCTATGAGGGTCATTTTTAAAACTTTTATTATAAACACTATTAAATTCAGACCGCTTTTTTGGTTTTTTTTTTCCCTTTATCTGAATATACAAGAACATTCATTATCAAATGTTCATCATCAGTACTACAAAGAACGAGACACGAGTCGCGAGAAACAATGGAAATGTTAATAAAGCTGAGAGGGTCATTGAGTATTTTTTTTTTGTTTTTTTAAAGTTTTTTTTAAATTTGAGTTTCTGTAGTTTTATCTTTTTTTGGTATCGAAGTCAGGTTTTTCTGGGCAGAAAAATAAAATGCAGAAGGAAAAGGGGGGAAGAGGGATGTGAGAGAAAAGGCAACCAGCAACTAAAAAAACCACCAGCAGAGCAGAACAATAGTCAGGAAGGTGCCACCAGGAAAAAATCACTGCGCGGGCATCCGCTCCACGCCAGGGAGCTAGGGGTGGAAGGGGGTAGCGATGCGGAGTTACAGGTGGGCAAACCCAAGGGGACATTTGGGGCAGGGACACCGCAGTGCTCCCACATCAATAGGAAACCGAGTCGTGGGCACGGCGGAGTCAGCGGGACTGACGGAGCAGGAGTCCCCAGGGCGCTGTCCCTGCCACAGGCCATCTCTGTCAACCCCGCCCTTCGCTGAGTGTGCTCACGTTTCTCTGTACTCAAGACACCCCGTGGCTGCCACGCTGGATGTAAGCGTGGCTCTGGAGGGAGAGGTGTGAAAGGTACAAGGGGGGGGCTGTGTGTGACAGTGACAGGGCAGCTACTGTGGGGCGGGAACCTGCCTGTGGAACTGCACTCCGCCCAATCTTTCCATTGACCTGGAATGGTGGCCATCCACCCAAACCCGAGTCCTTCATCCTGGCTCCAGGTGAACCCTGTGCCCAGGTGCAGGGGCCAGTAAAGCCCTGCACCGAGGCAGGTCTCACTGGGTCCGATCACCGCAGGGCTGCCACGTGGCCCCCTTCCCAGAACCCTCTGCATGGAGGAGCAGACGTGGCTTTCTAATGCTCTTGTCACCAGGCATAATCCCAAATATCTCTTGTCCACATTTCCTTCAAATACACACACCCTCTAACACACACAAAGAGGCAGTTTCTGTTTGTTACTGCATGCTGAGGACTGTCCATGACCTTGTTGGGGGACAGCCTGGCTCCTCGGGGTCTCACACAGTCCCAGAAGCCTCAAGCAGTGTCGATGTGACAGGGGACTGAGTACTGACAAACCACGGGCTGGACTCAAGCACAAACTAAGAGAACCAGGTCCGATTTTTCTAGTCTGGGACCTTCTCTCTATTCCAAGAAACCAAACAGACAAAAGCAAACTGAAAAACAACTCTCCCCTTTGCCCTCAGGGTGATGTCAGGGTCCAGACATGGACCAGAAGTTAGAGCTGAACCAGCTCGTCTCGGAGACACTGCTCCCCGGCCTCACGTTTACAGATTGGATGTGCAGGACACCGACACCTGCAGTCTCTCACAAGCCCTGCGTGAGCAGGCAGACCAGTCCCCATTTTACAGGTGAGGCACTAAGCCATCTGCCCACTGCCCACTGCCCACTTGGCGAGCGCCGAGCTGCCATCTCCATTGCTGGCACAGTTGGCCATGAAGGGAGCAGGCTCAGCGCCGTGGAGAATGGCTTTCCGGTGCAAACTTGTCTCCCAGGGATACTCCCAGAGCCTGAAAATCTCCGCGATGGTTTCACCAATAACATACCTCCCCGTCTCCACCACTGACAGGTCCTCAGACAAGCTGGTGAACAGTGTGCCCGAGGCAAGCTCTCATACAACGGAGTCCTCCAGACCCAGACACGGTGCACAGAACACCGGACAACTCACACCACATCCCCACTGCGCAAACACAGAACAGAGCCACCGCATGCAGACGCTGTGCCTGGCACCCTGATGCTCGGGCCATAGTGCACGGGAAGGGCTGGCGCTGGAGGCTGGTCTGTCCCATGGGGGTCGCTTGGCGTGTGCCTGCTGGGACCGCAGGTCCTGGACGCCGCAGGAACGTATCGCTTCTGTGTGTCTGGGACCTTCACTCGGAGTGGCCAATTCCCTCTTGGGCTCACAAGGCATAAGGCTGCGGTTACTAATGCAGGTATTTGTATGCGGCATGTGCCTGACCTCGGGGCGGTGCATGTGAGACCGTGCATGTGCCTACAGGGGCATGTGCGTGTGCAGGTAGAGTTGAAGGGTTTCAGGATGAGAACCGTCTCCTCCTCTGTGATGCATTCGTCACCACGCTAACCCACACCTGGGTCTGCAGCAGGTTCTGGCCCCCAGTCTGCCTCTGAAACCAGGAGCTGCTCCTAGGATGGTGAGAAGACCGGGAACGCCACCTCTCCTGTCCTGTGCCCTCTCCTGCCACTGACTTCCTACCTGGAATCAACCCTGTGGAGCTGAACCCAGGACCTGGGGCTCCATCCCCAGGGAGGACTGGGACTGGGGGGGCAGAGGGGGAGCGTGCTTACGGAGCTATCCCCAGGGAGGGCAGAGCAGGAGGAGGCAGTGGCCAATGAGCCGGGCCTGCGTGGCGAGTCCTGCGAGAGGTAGTGAGAGTGACGAGGGACGGGGGGCTGTGATGGGGGCTTGATGAGGTAAACGTGGCTCCTCAGACCACCAGCGTGAAAACAAACACTTTTATTATTTTCTTTTCATTTTTCCTCTTTAAATTCCTCTAATTGCTGAAAATATCCTTCAGTGACGCATAGAGGCAGGGCCCAGGGAGTGAGGGCAGGGGCAGGGGCAGGGCAGGGACGGCACCAGGCTGGCGGCAGGGAAGGGTGGCTTCTACCCAGAAAAAAGGGGACAGAGTAGAAAGAAGTGTCCAGATTGGCTGAAGTGGCATCCCACGGAAGAGAAGGGAAGGAGACTCTTGTGTCTGCTGATTGCTTCGACCTCCAGTCTGACCGCTTCAGCGTGGAGACACCCTCCCTCCTGGCCCCACCCGCTGGGCACAGGGTCAGCGGGATGCATGTGCGGGGAGGTCAGTTGGAGGTGTCGGAGTGAACACTGCCAGGGCCTTCTGTGGGGGACGTCACTGATGAGGGGGTAGTCGCATCCTGCCAACCTCCATTAGCCTAGAAGGGAAGAAAGGAGGGAAGTCAGTCCCCTGCAGCCGGCTGTCGGAGCACAGTGACAACGGAGCTGTGAGAGGGGCCTGCATACGGGATGCTCGTCAGCAGGCTGTTCTTGCTGTAGACCACACCCCACCTCAGATGAGGGTGGGGCCCCCATGCGCCTCTGAACAGTGTTCCAGCTGCCCCCCCGCCCCTCCGTCACGCGATGACCCCCTATGCCTGGTGGAATGACAGCCGCCTTGCAGGCCCAGGGGCCCAAGGTTTGGTGCTGACTCTGATCTGGCCAGGCATCCCCACCCCTCCGGCCTCAGGTTCCCCTTGAGAAACAGAAAGGTGGTCCAACTGCCTCCTAAGGTCCTTTGGCTCGATGTTCCCTGTCAGGATTCCAGGTGCCTGCTCTGTGCTAGGTGCTCCTGGCACGTGGCAATGGGGGGATACGTTCCGCCCTCAGCAGGGGGCAGACAGCATAGGAGTGAACCGTAACTCGTGGAGGAGCCTAAGCAGTGCTACAGTAGGCTGTCAGGAAGATCCCATGAAGATGGGACCCTTCTGGTTGGAGCATCAAGGGAGGCTTCATGGAGGAGGCACCCTTGGAGGAGAGCCTCAAAAAGTACACGGGGAAGAGGACAGTCGTGCCAAGGCCTAGGCCTGGCCCGTGTGAAGGTGTCTCAGTGGGTGAGCTGGGAGCTGGGGTTTAGCCTCCATTTCAGAACCTTTTCCTAACACTCAACCCAGAAGCATCCAACAGCAAAACTCCCTCCAGCCATGTCTCTGCCTGGGAGACCATCTGTGGCGGTGCTGCTCCAAACTGCGCACCATAAACGCCTGGGCAGCTGCTGCGGCTGCAACGTCCTGGAAGTGGGACTGGTCACCTCCCAGGGCAGCGAGTCCGCCCACCTCCTGCCCTGTGCTGAATTCAGTGGGAAACTCTGCCTTGAGATGGTCTCCTTCCCCAGCCTTTTATTTTCCTCCTGCACCCGACAACCCTGTCCACACTCCGAGGCAAACTCCTCTTGATAAAGGACACATTCCTCGTCAAAATCTGTCACCAGAACTGCACTGGGCGGCGCTGGGGCATCAGGGGAGTCTCTGAAACCAAATCTGCCCTTGCTGTCTATGAAAATGTCCTCAGGGGAGGGGTACACCCGGGACTGCAGGTGCCTGTGGGGCTGTGGCTGGGAGCCAGTCCGCCTGACACTCAGCTCCAGTGAGGGCTCAGCATGCCCCTCATAGACAGGATGCACACGGAACCTGAGGTCAGGCCACAGTGCCCCAGCTTCTACATCAGAAAACCTGGGCTTTCCAAACACTCACTCCTGGTATTGGGGAACCATAGGTTTCCGCAGCATAAGGGACTATTCACGCTATCCTGCCCGAAGAACAGACTGGTAGGCAGGCCCCCAGGAACTGGACAAGGCCCAGCATGCCCTCGGGAGGAGGGGGAGAGGGCCGAGGACAGGGTCCTGGTGGATGGGAGCCCGCGGGGTTGCTCCTGACAAAACACAGGAGCAGGGGTGCACCCCAGCCCTGAGTCCTCTCCCCTGCCACCTGCCCTGAGTCCTTCCTCCTTCCTGCTACGTGTCTGCCCCGGAGCAATGCACCCAGCGCAGCTTTGAGCCCAGAGCAGCGGAGGCGGCTGGGCTGAGGTGGGCCCATCCTCGACGCCTTCCTCTGAGCTCACCTTAGCAGCACAGGGTTGATGCAGAGAATTCACCACCAGATGTGACAGCCCAAGTGAGCCTGGCACCAAGAAACTCTCATTTACAACCCAGCAATACTCCGAGGTACCGCAAAGCAGCTGATGTCAGCACCGCAAGGAACTCGGGCTGCACGCGGCCAGATGCCGGCAGTGCAGACACTGGGCATGGCTGGGAGGATGCGCCCTGGGCCCGTCGGCATGAGTGGGGCTGGCCAGGGAAGGAAACAGAGAAGCGGAAGCAACCCGCACGCAGCACGCACTCTCCCGGCAGCCGCACCCAAGCCAGGCTCCCCTGATGTGCGCAGCTTTCTCAACGTGACACAGTGGGCACTTTCCAAGAGAGCTCAGAGATGCAAGGATGCTGCTGGAAAGTCCCCTGAGCGACAAGACACATTTCCCTGGGGAATCTCAGTGGAAACAGATGCACGCCCAGTGTGGCCCCTGCAGGCCCATCTCTAGCTGTGATCTTTCAAAATGTAGTTCTGATCTCGTCCCCACCCTGTTTAAACCTTCAGTGGCTTCGTGACGAGGGTCAGTGTCCTCATCACACCTGCGATACCCTTGACCCAGCTTCCTGTCCAGCTCAATGCTCGTGTTTCAAGCTTCGACCACCCCCAGCCACTCAGGAGCTCCCATAGCAGAAGGGCCACTTCATGCCCCTGTGTCCTGAGCACCCCACCCACCCACATGCCACTCACACCTGGCTGCTTCCAACCTTGAGTGGGAGCATCTCTGTCCCATGGGACCTTAGTGTGTCCCCTCCTCAGCAGCCCTGTCCTCCGTCTGTGCTCACAAGGCACTGGCGCTGCCACGGGGCGTGTCCTCAACCACGTCTGTCACGTACCAGCCCACGAGCACCACTGTGGGATTCACGTCCAGTTCCAAGCTGCCTACCACAGTGCTGGGCACATCACGGATGTTAATCGATGTCCGGGAGGGACAAATGAAGACGTGAGGGCGCATCTAGTGGCACTGTCTGTATCTCAGATTGGTGGCCTCCACAACTCAGACTGACCACCTGTACCGAGCTGTGTACAGTCAGGGTTACGCTCGTGACACGCGACCCTGTGCGGGGCCACACTGCTGGCTCATTATGCTGATCTCGCACCTCACTGCAGAGCCCCAGCCGAGACGGTCAGTAAGATGGTCAACCTGACCTGTGTCCACTGGTAGCACATGAACTCTCTTGTTACAAGTCACTTCCTCCAACCTTCTGTGCCACGCACCCTAACTGCCGTCCACAGGCTGCCTGGTCACGGTCCAGACACAACGCTGCCCCGGTGACGCCCCCACCCAGCACCGTCCTGCCAGCACCCGGCGCCACACCCCTGAAGGGCACATGCAGGTCGGCTACAAGGTCGAGCTCTACCCTGGCACTTCTAAGTGTCACCTTTTCCAGGACATCTGTCATGAATGCCCAGCGTTCGTGCTGCCACGCAAGGCACACGGGGCGTGGGAAGGTCTGGCAGGGAGGGCTGCCCCGTGCACAGATACAAGGCTATGCACGTCTCCCCCTAAAGGGCCAGGCGCCTTCTACTTCTGCTGAAAGTGCAACTATGGCCGCACGTACGACGCTTCCACACCCCGCAGACGCAGGGACTCCGTGTGCCTGATGTACACACAGGACGTTAAAACTTACAGATTTGTTTGATTTAACTTTTCAGAGGCAAAGAAAATAAGCTCAGCTTGCTTTAGCTAAATAGAAGTGTCTTCGTGGGGAGAGCTATTTATATCTGAATAAACATCCTCCGCACTCAGACCTGCAAACCCCAAAATATACCCCCTTATATGCACCTGCACACAGTGGGCAACACACGATTTATCCGACTCTCACAGAGCGGATGCGCGTTCAGAATACAGCAACTAAGAAATGAGTGCGCACACACTCACACCCACACACTCACAACTCACACAACACACACACTCCTTGCACATACAACTCACACACACACACCACGCACACAACACGGAATGCTCCCAACACACACTCATATACACAACTCACACACAATACTCACACACTCTTTACACATACAGCTCACACACACAACACACACACTCACACATATACATACACATTCATACACACACACACTTATACACACACGCGCACGTCCACCCACATTCTCACACACACTGCAGGAGGAGTAGGCGTATGAGACAACTGTATTTACTCACCTCGCCAAATCAGGGTAATCTGAGCAAAGGGTATTGCTTTTACTCTCAGTCTAAAGGATCTGACTGGCTGACTAGTTAGCCCTAAGGTCTTCCTTTTGTTTCTATAACCTCTGATTTTGCTTTGCTTTGTTGAAAGGTATCCTTCACTCGGGGCCACACCGAGACGGCACACACACCTCCACGCGATCGGTCTCCACAGAACTCACAACCCTCGTGACGGCCACCGTGAGGCCACTGACCGTCACGCGGGAAGCTGAAGCCCGCCCACGGGCCTGAGGTCCGGGGGACAGCAACTGCCCCAGATTACTCCTGCGGCAGAGAGACCCGGAGCCAACTCGCGTCCCAGAGACTGGCATATTCAAGTACACCGAGGACATTATAGCAATTTACGTGCCATCACGGAGACAGAGCCACAAAGGCTGTGCTGGCAGCCTCTTATTTGGAAGCCTATTATTTGTGGGAGGTACAGGCTATAATCACAACAGAAACTTTCAAAACCCTTATCTTCCGTGACGCACCAAATCTATTTCAGAGCCCTAATTGCTATGTCACCAGAGAGTTGGCTGCTTAATGCGCTCAAATGGCATTGAGTGTTTGCAGGGCCGTTCCAGCCAGCAGAGGGTGGGGGCACGGGGGAGGCGGGGGTGCAGAGGGGCACAGCCTCCTTCGCGCCTCGTTTATTAAGGGGAGGACAGTCCTGTGTGGAGAACTCTGTCCACAGATGAAATGAGAGCAAAGGCTTGAAAACCACCTTGGTAGAGAGAACTGTGAATGCACCTGGTCCCATCCTACAGCACGTCGGGGATGAGGGGGCACCCTCACCATTCTGGGATTCTTGGCCACATGTAATGTGGTTGACTTTTTAAATTTTACTTTTTTTCCTTTTAGATTGTCACAGAAATGTGTGCAGTGGAAATCTGCCAGCAGTGCAGCGAGCTCAGGTGTAGGAAGAACGGCGGGGTTGGGGAACGATGGTGACCTGTCGAAAATAAATGACCTAGAAGAACACAACACTTAGAGACGGTGAAGAAGATACAGGAGACTGATGTGGCTCCAGAAGAGAAAACACCTCGCCACTCTGAGACCATTTTCCAGACCGAGGTCTAGCTAAGCTCCTAGGAAT